ACATTCATTAAAATTCGCAGCAAAACACCGCTGGCCTTGCTACTGGGCTCCTTGAAAGCAGCTGTCTTAGATACAGTTGACCGCCGGTATTCGCGGGGGTTAGGGACCACGGCTATGCTCGAGTAGCTGAAATTCGTGCATTCTTAAAAACTGCCTAAAATCGCTTTTAGGTGTCTATTTTAAAGCTTCAAACATCAAATTTGCCGTCGATTATCATCCTTAAACGCCTTAAAATTACTGAAGAATCATTTAATAATATTCCCTTTCAAAATATATGGCTTATAGCTGCGCGTGAACACATGCACAACTGTTGACCCTGTCGATGAGCAAACTAATCGCCTAATCACTTTATTCAAGCGCGTACATTCTATGTCAATATTTGAAAATTATCATCTCATTTTTATCATAAGGCGTTTGGTCACGAAAATAATTAGCGAATCTTTTGGACAGATGAATATGGTAATTTTGTGAATATTGAACCGCGGATAGGTAAAGGTCAATTCTACACCCAAGAACATTCTTTAAAGTATATTTTATGTGCGTGTAGTTGTTACCAGCATATCTGTGCCACATGCGGACACCAGTGCTATCGTTGTGTCTACGCCTATTCCCATCTGCCTCCCTTCCTTGTTTTCTATTGCAAGACGGGGTGCTCGCGGTGCGTTAAAATCCGTGACTTGGAGAGTTGCCAACTGACGGGATAACTTGGACACCGCAGTCACCTCAGTGTGTCTTGTTGTGTGGAGTTGCTGTCTGTGAGCTGAGAGTCAGACTCCATGGCTCCTTCTTAATGTGGCCTTTACGGCGCTCCCAGTCGGGTGCCTACCTAGCAAGGTATGCGTCTGCGCCCTTCCCCATCTTCGGTCTTTATGACTTTTGTCTCCACATTGGGTCCAGTGTGGAAGTGGTGAGAGAGTGAGGTAGATTCTCCATGGATCTTCTCTCACTTTTATCCGGCGGAACTGGCCGCGTTGCTTCGGCCTGCTGAGGCTCCTTGTGGACATCATCGAAATCATGACTGCCATGACAACAAATTAAAGTCGGGGAAGTAGAGAGTGTGGTAGACGCTGGGCAAATCTACCATCACTCAGCAGTAGGTAATAACGTACAAGTCACCGTCACTCCACAAACCTTTTTGAAACCTATGGTGGAGATGATCAAAATCGATGGTCAAACTGTCCTGCGCGAGTGGAATGCGCAGACGAGCTCTCCACCTATGTCAACCACCGCGTCGATGCCTCCCATCACATATTTCACCAGCTCGGACAGCGGATCGGTGTCTGGGAACGGGAAGAAAGTGAGAGGGCGGTTAACTGTCTTGGTGAATATCCCTCCGTATAGACAGCTTGAGGGGCTTTACTCTATCAGGATTGTCTCCCGATGGGATAATTCGGTCCATCCTCGGGTAGATGTAGGTCAATTCTACATGCAACCCTATTCTTTGAAGTCTATTTGGTGTGCGTTTAGTTTTTGCAAGTATGTTTGCGTCACATGCGGACATTTGTTAATTATCATTGTGTCCAAGCCTATTTGCATTACTCTCCCTTCCTTGAGGAGGTGCATGTATGGAGTCCTCTGACTTTTTTACATGCAGAGCTCCTGTGCTTTAACATTTTAACGCTTTACAACATTCTTGCCTTCTTTCGCTTGCAGTCACCTCCCGTTCCGGAAGTTCCAGCTCCTACTTTACCGGAAGGCCCTGTTGATGCTTGCAGCTTCCCACCTATCTCACCGCCCAGCTCTGGTTCCCCGCGAGAAGCACTTGGCCGAGCTGGTGTTTTTAAGGTAATGATTACTGCTGGGGTGTCACTGCACAACCTATGATCTGTTGGGCAAACGTTTTCTTCAATATGGATTGTGCTCAGTAATTAGGAGCGTATGGTATTCGACAGCCTAAAACAGGCCAGTCTCACTCTTAAGCCGGCAAAATGCGTACTCCTACGTGACAAGGTCAAATTATTAGTGCATGTCGTTTCCTCATCCCGGATCAAACTCGTTAAGTCTAGGGGTTGCAAACCTACTTGGGGTCCCAAAAATAGTTTAGATATTCTAACAAAATAGCGCGCCATATATAAAGAGAAAAAATTCCTTGCATTTCGTGAATGCTAATAGTTTATTGGGTTTCCTGATATTCCTGGAAAAAAGATGGTGGTTAGGAGGTCATCCACTTCAACTTATCTGGGGTCCAACTTACCGTTCTGGAGTTAGATTAGTGCATTTCGCAGCGTGAAACGCCGCGCACCTTCTAATTACATGCGCAGCAACTTTGTATTAGTTTATTTTATTAGGTTTGTTTAACTTATTTATATTTAAGTTAAGTTTTCAGTTCGTTGTCATGTTTACTACTTTTATTTATTTTTAGAAACTTTTTTTATTTAAGATACTTTAGCTTACCTTTAGTTTACGTTTCGTCAGTTGATTTTAGTTATATGAGTCCGCTATTGGTCAACGCCAAGCAATGTGATCGAGGTCAGAAATGTTTTCGGGCCTCGTCTCCTACTATAGGAACTTCATTAAGGCCTATATCCATATAGCTACACCCCTAAAGAGGCTTATCCAAAAGCGAGTGCGGATT